CCCCCCCCCCCCCCCAAAATTGGTTCGATTGAAACCAGACCACCGGACCAACCGTACCGGTGGCTACGGCCCTGTCTGATCCAGGATTTTACATTTTTGATTCCCTTCTATTTCTTTTATAGTTACTAAGTAATGGGAGGAGCTGGATGTGCTAATGATTTTTTTCTACTTGTTACTTAGTGGTTCCTGGGTGACATTTTCTGAGGGTTTTTTAGGTCAGAACACGATGTTTAACATTCCAGACATATTTTAGGTGTTCACGGTTTTCTTAGTTTGACCATAATAGATCAAAAAATAAAATATCACAATATTATTGCCAACCTGTGCGTTTTGACTGCTTTTTGTTTTGTTTTCAGTTTGCCTTTTTATATCCTTCTCTTCTTGTTCTCCTTCTCCTTCGTCATTTTCTGGAAAGTTAGAGTTATATGTGTTACTGTAGCTTCTGAAATACACTGGAACAGTTTGAATGGCAATCTAAGTGTCATTTTTTCCTGCCTTATTTTTTGTATGTAATGCTGACATCAGGCTTCTCTGCTAGCAGAGCCTATTTTCCTCCCCGCCTAAAAGAAGGGAGAGAAAGAGGAGAGACTCTGCTAGCAGGGAAACATCAGGCAGATGTTTGAGCTCTTTTCTCGTACTTAAATCTAACTAAATGAATAATGTACAATCATGACTGTCACAACTCTTTCTTTTGTTGTATTGTATGTACAACTTTTATCAGGACTCCTTTTAAACTAGCTATGCTAAATTGGATGTTACAGGTCTGTAGAAATATTGATTTAAATAAGATGCCTAGTCCCAGAAATTTTTCCTACTCCCCTCCCCCTGAGGAATTTGGAAATTCCAAGGGGTAGGGGGTTCAGAGAAGGAACAAAATTACAGAGTATGTATGAATTATTCTATATTTTTATTGGCAAATCCAATGTAAATATGTTTATACAGAGCCAATGAAATATGTTGTCTTGTCTTGTCTATGAAAGGAAATTGGAATTTCTGGGAGTTGGAGGGGGAGGGCTGAAAAAATTCTTCCGTGGAGAGGGGGGGGGGGGKGGGGGGATGTGGAGGTTATGAATAATTTCGTGAATTACACAATTATAAAATAAGAAGATATAACTAGCTAAAAACTAGTGTGAGCTGTGTCGGTGTTTCTAATGAAACAGTAATGATGAAAAGGTCAATTATACACCGTGAAAAGATGAAAAAACTTACTGACGTTTTGGACGCTAGTCCTTCGTCGGAGTAAAAGAGAAAGAGGTGGTAGAAAGGAGCGTACATATGATAGAATAAGACAAAAGAAACCAATGAGAGCAAGGTAGGCAAGGAAACAAAAACAAACAATCAAAAGACAAAAGAAAAGGTTAGTTGAAAGTAAAGCGTTCATTAATCCTGTTGGGACTAAGAGTGCCAAAATAATAATTATAAAATACATACCACTGTCTGTATTCAGATCCTCTCCACTGTCCTCTTCATCATCATCTTCATTATCATCATCACTGTCACCACCATCATCTTCACCATTGCCACCCTCGTCGTCGTCATCTTCATCATCTTCATCTTCTTTATCATTATCATTATGTCCTGTCAGCCATTCATACTTCAGGTTTTCTTCACCATCAGGCAGGTTGATTTTACCATCATCATAGCTAAGCATGGTTCTTGTGTCTTCTCTTACAGTAAAACTGAAAAACAAGAAAAATACACAAATAAACAAAAGGGTACATTCTGAGGGAAAATGTTGGAGCTTTTGCAGAAGATTTGTGCCATCAAACAAACATCTTTCAAGATCTGCACGGTTAGCTATTCCACTCAAACAATCAACTCTTTGCCAATGTACAGTCCATACCTATCACCTAGATCATCTGCAGACATGTGCTTTGGTTTTGCATTAATGGGAATCCCCTTCATTCTTCTTATCCTTTCTTCCTAAAAAATTCAATTATGATAAATATGATCATCAATATAATAAAGGTTCAACAACAATTACCAGTAGAAAGAGATGAGAAATTTGTAAAAGATTTTTTTTTTTTTTATTGAATGATTTTTACCTTTTTTACTGCCATTTCCATAAACATGCAAACTCTGTGTCTCTGAGTTGCACGTTAAAATTTGGTTTTTCGCTGCCGCCAGTTGAAAATATGAGAGGTACCGACTGATTAGGTTTGATTGACAGCAACGAAAATCCAAATTTTAGTGTACAACTCAGAGACACAGAATTTACATGTTTATGAAAATGGCAGTAAGCAGGAAGGATTTACTTACTTCAAGCTTCTTCAGTTTTTCTTGTTCTTCCTTAGCAAGTTCTACATCTGACTTGAGCCTGTTTGTTGCCTAAAAAACAGACACTTTTAGTTTTTCAAAGTGAAATGCGGTAGCAACCGGAAGCTGTAATCAAGAACCTTTATTTACTGTTAAAGGTTCTTTCACATAGCAAAACGTACTGATAACTCAAAGTTTACTAGATAATCTATACTATTTAATCCATCAAAGTCATTGGATGTCTATGATTCTTGAACTATTAGTGAAAAATACAGGTATATGCGCCTCTACGAACGTCCAAAAATTGTATGTGTCAACTATTCCCATCAAAATATTTCAAAATCTATCCAATAATCTTTCCTTCATATTTTGATATGTAATGACGAGCATTGCATTCATCAAAAATCTGAAATAAAAAATGGGGGTCACCATTCTTTGTTTGATTCATCTTGAAAAAACACCTCAAAATAGTCGAAAACTGACACTTTTCTGAGTGGAGACTGGGGCAAGTCAGATAAAAATCGCAATTTCTCTACTCAAAAAAGAGAAAAAAGTGAAAATTGGCTTGGAACATGTTTCTTATTAGTGTACGAAAGAAAAATGCCTGAACTTTATTAGTTCCATGCTTTTAGTTGCATGCGCAGAAAAATGCATGTCATACTTTTCCCTTCCAGCCCTTCAATGTAAATCTATAATGATTAAGATTTTAGATCTAGAGTTTTTCGAGTTCCCCTTGGAAACAATAATCAAATTCAAGAAGTTTTTTTTGAATGGCTTTGGATTTTATACAAAATGATATATTATGTAGCTATCATTCATACATTCAAAGGTGGGATGTACATTTTCAAATTACTGTTAGGAACAAATTCATAACAAATATGACATACTACAAATAATGTACAATTTAACACAGGGAAAAAAAACGATTCCCAAATTGGGAATTGGTTGGGAATTTCCTTGAATTCCCAACGAATTCCCATCCAATTCCCAGAGAGAACGAAATTGGGAACGTTGCACTGATTCCCAATGTTAGTTTGTTGGGAATTTTGTTTTTCTATATTGGGTATTAGAAGGAAATTCCCAACAATAAATCCCAACGTTGGTGTTCGAATTGGGAATTCAAGGAAATTCCTAACAATTCCCAATTTGGGAATCTGTTTTTTTCCTGTGTAACAATGATATATATGACTGAATTGGAGTAATTGTGGATATGTTCGTTTTACATAAAAAATGAGATTTTTTTTCATATTTTGTTAAAAATGTGTTAGCCAAGCATGTCAAAATCCAAGATTAAAGTAAAGACTGTTCAAGTACTTTAAAAAGTAGCATGAACCCTGTAACAAACTCACCTTTCCTTTTACTTCAAATGCAAGTTCTTTTACTGTAATATCATAATCATCAGCCTTGGTGCTCTCCTGCTTGGCGTGTGGATCCTAATAGAGCAGAAAAATAATTATAAAATTTCATAAAGAGACAAATCAAGGACACCTACAGTGAGTCTGTGTTTATCACTGGGGTCCCTGTGGATACGCCACAGGCAACTCAATCTAATGGTTCATGCAAATCAAATGTTCATTATGAGATAAGAGGAGCAATAATTAATAATTCGACTCAGACAATAGCAAACCAATTTCCATCACATCAGTTTTCCCAGTGGAATTAAAATCTCGTCGCACAAAAGACTACGAAGTATCTGTTTTAAACATCTATTACTCAAAGAAGTACAGTGGAACCCCGCTCTAAGGACACCCGCTTAATAAGGACACCTCGTTATTAAGGACATGTTTCAAAGTCCCAATGAAAGCTCCATACATTTTCTGTTAAATTAACCCGCTTTATAAGGACACCCGTTAATAAGTACAAAGGACACATTTCTAGGACCTGAATGACAGTTTTCATACATAATCAACCCCTCATTAAGGACACTTGAAATTTGAAGACGTCTTTACTGTATTTGTTTATTGATATAATGAGCTGAATACGAATTATGTTGTCAGTTTTTGCGTATCAACGGATGGCGCACTGATCATTGCAGTATAGTTTGCTATTACACTATAATGAAATAGACAACGCTCAATTTTAGCAGGATTTTAAGCGATGTTCAATTAGTTTGGTTCAATCCCAGTATTTTGAACTCTGTTCAGGAAAACACTCACAGATTTCTTTAAATGAAATTATACAGCACAGTACAGTATAGTACAGAAATGGTGTAGTGCTTGTACAGTAATGTACTTTTTGTTTCAGTTTAGGCTGTTGTATTGAACATTGTAGCTGAAGTGTGCAGTACAGTCAAAAGAAAACAGTAAACAAACAAATCTCACAGACGTCTTTAAATTAAATTGTACAATACAATGTAGTAAATGCAAATGTAGTTCTTATGCAGTAATGCATTTTTTGTTCCAGTTTAGGCTGTTATATTGAACATTGTAGTTCAAGGTTTACAGTACAGTAAAGATAAATGGCTTAAAATATGTTTTCAGCTGTTTTTCTGAAACCTCAGTTAATAGGGACACCCCGTTAATAAGGACAGTTTTGTCTGGTTAACGGTGCCCTTATTAACGGGGTTCACCTGTATGAGATTAATTTCACATGACAGTACGGAATCACTTCGTTTACCAATTTTCTGCAACCAGAGGTTTGAAATATGACATATTCTAACAAATTTGTTGAGCTCATGGGACATAGCAACGGTAACTAAGAGGAGTTGGAACCGAGAATTGGTACATACCCTGAATGACATAAGTTTTCTGATGTCTTTCCAGTCATCATCCAACATGTCTGTCATGTTCGTATTCTGTTCCTTAGCAGCCTGTCTTTCATGCTAGACACAGAAATGATAAAATAATTTTTTAGATTAAGAATATAGTTTACAAAAAACATCAAATGAATGCACTTTATTGAAGTATGACATGTGTTGAGTGGAGTATGGATTGTTGATATATTTTCATAATGTATAAGACAATGAATATAATGATTGCATTTATAAAAAAAAAAAAAAGAATGTTGTTGATAATGATATACTAAATTCTTATGATAGAAGTGTTGATATATTTTATCATATAGATTATCTATTATATTCAATGTAAAGCGCTGTTGAAATTCACAAATGAAATGGCGCTATATAAATTTTACTTATTATTATTATTTTTCACCATTGTAATCAGGAAAATGCTCAACTTAACAAGCACATGCTATGACATCATAAAAGAAATTGGTCAAGAGTGTGGATGGTTAGGTTTAGGGCTAGTATTGAGGTAAGGCAATACCTGGGTTCAACTCTCAGCTTGGCCCTAATGTTATTTTTTTATGAGGTTGTAGAGTAGTACTGAGACTTTTCCTTAATTCGATTATTTGAAGGAAAAAAATCTTATGTCAACCATGAATTTATTGTTATAACAAACACTTGCCCATAATCAGGAGGTAATGCAGAATTAGTTAACGTTACATCACTGGTAATGATAAGTACCTTTTTGAGTTTTGCTTTTGCAACAACTTCTTCCATGATTTCTTTCCTTGATTTAGGTTTTGAATCCTATCAGCACAAAATGCAATAAAATGTTATAGCATATTTAATATTATCACCAATAATTATTATCATCCGGTTGTATGAAGCACTACTGGCTGAGAACCTGTGAAAATCCTGTGAAAAACCTGTGAAAAATATCTCTGTATTTTCGAAATTTCAGGCATCACAGCCACATTTTAGACAAATTTGATAGGAAATATAGGCTGTGCAAGTTCTAAATATAGGAAAATATAGGATTTTCCCCCAAAAATATATGCACTTTATAGGAGCTAAGATAGCTTTTCGGTGGCGTAACCAGGGATCAGGAGGGTGCACAGGCAATAATTGGCAGCCATTTTATTTCCTTCGCCAAATATATGCTAAACAGTGTAAAAGTAAAATATAGATGTATCAATCAGCAGTCGTCCTATTTATAGGAAATATAGGAGGTCTGGGATGCCTGAAATTTCACAGGTTTTTCACCGGATTTTCACAGGTACTCAGCCAGTAGTGAAGGGTGGATAGCACTATCTGGTGGATAAATCTTATGGGTTTGCACCATCATGTGATGATGCAAAGCCTCTATTGTCTAAAAGCTGTTTCTCCTTAATTACCTCATTGTGATTATCTGGTTTCTTTTTCTTTAAAAATCCTCCAAAGTGGGTTTCTGCTACATCGTTTCCTGCTAAAAAAAGTGTGTACAATTAGCAAATTAGCTTAGTAAAAAAACTCAAACAGGGTTCGTGCTGAGGTAACCACTTAAAATTCAAGGACTATTCAAGGAGTATACAAGGACCCAAAAATGAATTTTCAAGGAGTATGTTCAGCTAACTATGCCAAGGTTTTACACGGTGAATGCACATGGCCGACTTTCAGATTTTCTGATCTTTCTGACTAGATCTATTTCATAACCATGCAAGTAACGATCAAAGCAAAGATTCAAGTTTTCAAGGAGTTTCGCTAAAATCATAAAATTCAAAGCTTTTCAAGTGCCCTTGAAAACGTGAATTAAATTCAAGGAGTTTTCAAGGAGTTTAAGGAGTAGCACGAACCCTGCTCAAAATACAGTACAGCCCAGATGTTTGTCACAGTGTCTGCATGTGAATTTGGATGGAGTGCGTTAATTCATTACAAGCAAAATCATGTAAACCGTGCTTTGAGGCAAGGACGCACTACACGCTTTTGAGTGTAATATTCTTTTGTTATACAATCTTTGTTTCATAACAAAGGCCATAGAAATTCAGTATTAAATTATCATTCATATTCCACACATACACAGAATGAATGAATGTGGAATCCACTGTTAACTCTTGGAGAAAATCCTTGAATCAAGGAAGAGACCAACAACACTCTACTCCCATATAGTGCCAAGCCCAAAAATTGAAACTGGGACACCAGAGGTGAGACGCGAGTTTACCATTTTGGTCCAGATTCAAGCCCTGGCTCAGACTGGATCATATGTGAGTTGAGTTTGTTTGATGTGTTGTTCTCTTGCTTGCCACGAGGGTTTTCTCCGGGATCTCCGGTTTCCTCCCTCCATAAAGAGCAACATTTGAGTTGAGTGTTGTGTGTTGTAAAAATAGAATGAGGTGTTAGTGTGTGTGGAGGGAACCTGACTGAAGAGCCCAGTATGAGGAGTGGTGGTTGTAAAATATAAATAAAAAATAATAAAAAAATGACGCTACCCCACGCTAGACTCCTAATAAAATTTCTTACCATTTTCATCTTCTTCTTCCTCATCACTGAGTCTTACATCATCAAACTTATCAAAGTCTCCAAGGGACTGGCCCATGTGAGTGAGTTCTTCCTCTTCCAGATTGTAGATACCTGATTTTTCATGGTGTTTCTGTTTAAAGATAACAGATTGTACACAATCGTAGTTGAGAATTGTTTGAAAAATGATACAAAGTTACAATAGGGTAGGAATTTGACTTATTTGATCAGTCTGTGTTCTGAAGTGATGGGAATGCCTTTTGCAAAACCTAGGTGTAGAAGTAGCCAATGACTTTCAAAAATGATTGAAAATTCATGAATGATATTTAAGGGGGGACTAGCATGAAAATCATCCAAATTTTAAATAAGCTGAAACTTTATTGGAATAACCCTTAGAGGTCTATTAATCACTGGTGAAAATTTTTTCCTGATATTCACATGGGAAGTATTATATTTTAATGAATTTTTATAGGAGTCTGTGACGTCATACACTCAGCACTAAACATCACTCCATACATTTCTTTTTAAAAAACTTCATGTTTTACTTTATTTCTGTTAAGCCCAAAGGTCCGCTTAGGGACTTAATATACATAACTCGTGGTTAGAATCATTTTATGGTATCTTTTCTTCAATACTGAGTATAAAACTAGAAGATATTTTGATTACAAAATACAAAGAAATGTATGGAGCAATGTTTAGCGTTGAGTGTATGACGTCACAAAATTCGTTAAAATATAATACTTCCCATCCGAATATCAGGAAAAAAACTTTAACCAGTGATTGCTAGACCTGTAAGGGTTATTCCAGTAAAGTTTCAGCTGAATTAAAATTTGGATGATTTTTGTGCTGGTCCCCCTTTAATAAGGATTCAAGCCAGTCCAATTTCAGAAATCAGGTGAATATGAATATCATGTAAACTTTAAAATGAAAATCCTAACTAGATACAACCACTAGTGGATGTATACTGTTCTGATACAGCACTAGTGGTCGTATCTAATTAGCATATGAACCCAAAATGTCCCAAAGGATTTGTAAATCATTCTTGAATGTCACAAATTGTTTACAATATTCACGCTCATGTCGTATCGGCCACACAATCACTTGACTCCAACTCGTGATTTTTAACCAATACAACACAGCCGCACATATTGTAAACATTATTTACGTCGTACCTGTTTCTCAATAGCAAATCTCTTTAATAGTTTGTCTTCAACTGACATTTCATTGTCATTCTCACCAAAACGTTTGTCAACAAATACATTGGCCTGAAATAAAAGGTATGTCAGCTACTTGGATAAGACTATATATACCTGTGTATATAGATCCTACATTTTTGGCCTTTGCAATGAAAGCCATGTAGTGTAAAGATGTATGCTTACTGTACCTTGTTACGCTGTTTGTACTCAGCCAATAGAGTTGTTTCCCTCTATGAACAAAGAAATTGTATAATATATAATGTAAAAAGAATCTTCGACCATTTTTTTCTGCTATTGTTTTTATTGCTACAGTGTAGGTATGGATTGAAACAACACTTGCAACATGGAAGTCGGGCAATGCGCTGCTGTCAATCAAAGTTCGACAGTTGCCAAACAATTTATTTGATTAACATTAGTCTGTTGCCTGATTTTCTTGTTACAACTGTCATAATGATAAACATGTAGCAATAAAAAGTGTGATAAAAGCAGAACAATACATATTAATGCACATGGTTATCTCTTCAAAGCCTTTAGCCTTGATGCTTAGTTATCACGTTAGAGCAATATTTGCAAATGAACAGACCACTTATGTTAGTTATGTATTTGTATTGTCTTGTTTTTCCATCCAGCCCTGCGGACACCGGTGAATTGTGTTTGTTTGATGTGTTGTTCTCTCCTATGCTACGAGTTTTTTCTCCGGGTTCTCTGGTTTCCTCCCTCCGTAAAAGCCAACATGTGAACTGAGCGTTGTGTGCATAGAATATTGAATGTAGTGGTAGTGCGTGTGAGCGAAAAGTGTCCCCAATTAGTGCGAAAGCGCTAGAACAAGACACAAGTGATTTTGTGCCTTGAGCGCATTTGCACTACGTTATTTTGTTTGTGACAAGAAAAGCCACGACAAATTATTAAGTGATGTAACATGTAAAAGGGGTACAAATTATTCATGTTACCTTTTTAATAGCCTTTGACCTCGATACACCAGGCAAGCCTCGATCATGCTTCATCTTCCTACCGAGGATCTCATGTTTTCTCTTGTTTACGTGCACTTCAAAAGGGTTATTCGCTACTGATTCCTGACGCTGTGCTGTCTTTGAAGCCTTCTTGGCAGCCGATATAGACTTCTTTACCTTACCCATCCTCAAAATTCACTATATCCTTTGTATTTTTCTTTTTTTTAACTAAATCTTATGAGAATCAAACATTTGCACGTCAGCGTTTTGCACGTGTAGGCCGCCATTTTGTTCTTTCGTGATCGTAACATATTTTTGAGCTCAAACCGCTGACTTCAATTTCTTTTCGGACATTTCTTACTCACCCCCTCCCCCTGAGTATCGATATCGTTTCTATAAATATTGACCAATCAGGTGAGTGGATGGCATCACGTGTCGTTGACCGTTGTGTGCGGGATTTTCAAAAACGAAGAAAGAAAAAGAACGAGGAGGTCAGGAAGACGTTATCAAACGACCGCGATTTATGAGGGATTTTGCACTAGCCGCCTACTAATTTTTACAAAATGGAACCCCATGCGTAAGTTTATTCATTTTAATTTAGTTTTGTAGTGTAAAATTGTTCTTATTTAGTTTATTTTTACAAAAAATCATCTTCAGTTGAATTAGTTTGTCGAAGATGGCGGAACTTTGAGAGCAACCGCCCGAACTAAAATTTTTCTCATTTATAAAACACCAAAACAACTTCTACCGTGACTTAATTTTAAACTAGGAGTAGGATTTTATGTCTTCTTAGTCTGATTGAACCTAAATCCTATAAAGACTGTCGAATATTTTGGAAATCTTTTTCTGCCTTTGAAAGTCGTAAAAAAAATTAGAAATATTTATTTTGAATTAATTCTTCTCAGGCCATTAGCTACGATAGATGAATCTTTCAAAGAAAACAGTGTTCAAATGATTAAAACTGAATTGGTTGGTTGCCTGGAAGGCTCCATGGAAAATCTGCAGCAGATATGGAACGAGATCGGGATCTCAGAAGAGCAGAAAGAAGAAAGGACACATGTCGTTCTAAAACATTTACAGACTCTTCTACAGGAAATGGTGGAAGAGGAGAGACAATTGAAAACCACTTTGATGGAGAATGTAAAGACATGTTCTGCAGATCTACAGCAGTTATCAAACGAACTGGGAATCGAATATCCAACGGTATAAATGAAATCATTCATAAAAATAATATAATGGGGTACTTGTCATTTTTCATGAGTGTCTACAAATTAGCTTGTCTAAATTTTGGCTTTTTTCCTTCATGCCGTATTTTATTGGGTTGGATGTAATTTATCTTATTTTTGCAGGGATGGTTGAGAACATTTTAAGGTGTGTTGGAAGGGGGGAGGGGAGGGCTAGAATTGTTTTCTTTCACAGAAAACTCAGACAAATCAAGATATCATTCGTAAAAAGTGAGCTGAAGTCATCCTGCCCCCTGATTCTGCCATCCCTCAACAGGGTTGCACCAATTGACTGCATTGTTATGTTTCAGTTTACAACATAAGAATGTGCTATAAGCATATATAGAGGATATTACATGGGCGCGCGGAGATACGAAATTTATCTTCGAGTGTTGAAAAATCTCTCACAAGTGAGCGCAGCATTGATATTCTTCTTTCAAAAGGAATACATCTAACCCTTGAATCACCCTCCACACTCAAACATGAAGAGATAACTAGAACTAGTGTGAGCTGCGTCAGTGTTTCTAATGAAACAGTAATGATAAAAGGGTAAATTATACACCATGAAAAGATGAAAAAACTTACTAACGTTTCAGACGCTAGTCCTTCATCGGAGTAAAAGACATAATTTACCCTTTGATCATTACACACACAAACATGTTGATTACAGACAGACCACCATTTCCTGGCAACATTTGCATGTATACATGCATCAGGAGTTCCGTGCTACTGCTCTAAGCGCATGCTCAAGTGGACCATGGGTTGTAAAAATTGATATATTTGATTCCCAATTATCTTAATTCTACTTGCTCTTAAATGTTTAATAAAAATTATGCTTGGAAAGAAAAACATGATATTAACATATAGCAATTTTTACAACCCATGGTCCCACTTTTTGACCCCTTAAGCATGCGCTAAGAGCAGTAGCGAGGAACTCCTGATGTATGTATGGAACTGATATTTGAACTTCATTCCTTGTGATTCAAAAGTCTACAGTTGTACATATTTATACAGTCAAGAGCATTTATTCAGTATCATGTCTTATTTTTTAGTTCCCGGAAGGAATCAGTATTCTTAAACTAGAAAATGACCTGAGAACAAAAGTTGATGAATTCAAAGTGGTAAGTACTTACATTACTGCTAAAAATAGAAAAACAACAATTATCAAAAAACAATAAAAATTTAAAAAAAGATAAAATAAAAACAAATAAAAATAATAGCTGGTCATTAGACAATGTCTAGCCAAAACTGGAACTTGCCTAGCAAAATTTTTGCCTTGACATTATTTACCAGTAAGGTTGAGCCAAAAACAAAGGACAGTATGACCAAGGGCAGATCCAGCCAAAATTTTAGGGGGGGGGGGGGGCTAATTGAGTTTCTTCCATCAACTCAATGGAAAACAATAAGAAAAGCATCTAATTCTTCAGTTTTGTTTTGTTTTGTTTTTTTTTCTGCTGAAGGGGGGATGCAGCCCCCCTTTGCTCCCTGGATCCACCCTTGATGACCGAGCTAAAAACTAGTGTGCATGGTCATCATAATCAGCAACTGACCAGCTGTTATATTTAGTCCTGATTTGCCGACCGAGTGGTGAACAATGTGCGGAAAACACAAGTGGACAAAATGACCGGCCATAAACTTTTTTAGAGGGGAAAGAATGAAGCAAACGTGGCAGTAAAGAGAATTGTTTTTATTTTTCCTTTCCATATTTCTGCTTTGTAGCCATGTATACACTCAATTGAAGAATCGTTGTCGGGTTCAGAAACATAGAACATAGAAGCTGAGACCGAAATGGCACATGGGAAGTACATTAATTAGATACATGCTGTGACCGGCGACCTGTGGCACCATCCATTGTTTTTAATACGTGTTTGGCATTCTAAACCAACTGCCAAACAAATAAATTATAATATATAAATTATGTCATTTCCCATGTGCCACTTTGGTCTCAGCGACAACGATTCTTCAATTGAGTGTATTATATGTAAGTCAAAAGAAAACAGAAAAATATGCAAAAGTTGGGTTACAGTAGCCTCGGAATGAGAGCCAACGGCAAATTAACAGCTGAACGCCCTGTGATTGGCCAATTATAGGTGGCAGGAGTGTCAGTCAAAAGTCAGTATTTTTTAGGCTGGTCACTACTATTTATCTGATCATGTTTTAAATAATGGCTTTGTTTTTGTAGGAGAAACACAAGAGAATCAAGGAGCTTAAGAAACTGCGCGAACAAGAGAATGTATTCTGCAAGCGTCTGTGCCTTCCTGCTCACAACTTTGGCCAAAATTTTGTTGTACCAAACAAGGAACATATCAGGGAATTAGAAGCAAATATTGAATACCTGAAGAATGAAATGGTGAGTAAATATTAATCTAATAATAATAATAATAATAAACTTTATTAAAGTCTCAAGATTCTAGCTTAGCACACATGCCTTGCTAATCGGGGAGACCAAGCTAAATATACTATATATCTACAAGTATTGATGGTTTTCAACCATTCCCAAGAGAATTAAATAACAAAAGACACAGCGGCCATGTTGGAGGATATAACAAAATAATTAATTGACAATTTCCTATTACCATATTACAGTTATAGGGGTTCAGAGGCTATTTATTCTTGCTTCAGCTTTTGCTTTTTTTATGTCCTCAAGTGAAATAGAACCACTGGAGCCCAGGGCCGGGTTGTTCAAAGCTGGATTAGCGCTAATCCAGGATTAACTCTATAGGTCTTATTAAGAGTTAACCCAGGATTAGCACTAATCGGGCTTTGAACAACTGGGCCCAGGGTACAGTTAGAGCTGGAAGATTAAGTGGTTATAATGCCAGTAATCATGCATCTAAAAAATGGAATTTTAAATTATTAATAATGTTTTACAGATTAAAAGACTGGAAAGTTTTAAGAAAATCAAAGCAAATGTGATGGAACTGTGGAAGGAATTGGAAGAAGTTCCCAAGACGACAGTAGAAACAGAGATGGCCATGGACAGTGCAGAAACAACTTTTGAGCTGTCTGCTATTAACCTGGAAGCTTTGAAAGTCTTGGAGCTAGAGGTTGGTATGCTATGGTTTATCATTTCAGTTTACATTTACATTTTACATTTTATTTATGGTTTACGTGTTACTGCGGATCTCATTGAACTGTGGCAACACATCAAAAATATGTCTCGCTACCACACCCTAATTCGTCTGCTGTCACGCCTTCTTTCGTTACATGTATTACAGTGAATACCTGGCAATGTGCTAGATCCGAGACAATAACAAAAGTAGGCATGTCAGTGGACAAATGAAGGTGTGGTAGCGAGACACATTTTTGACGTGTTGCCACAGTTCGGTGAGATGCGTAGTAATAAATATTATAATAATAATTAGCTGGAAGTTAACATTGTTAATAAACAATGAAAAAGGTATGACTTATATTTACCTGACTATAGAGGTTTTGCACCACCATGTGACGGCAGCCATGTTAGATGGCAGGAACAATACAATTGTTTTACATGAGAAAGAATTCAATTCCCAACAGCAAAGGGATTTTATTGTTCTGCCATCTAACCACAGGCAGTCCAAGCTGTAATGGCACAAAATGTTGAAAAAGTCTATTAACATAAAAAGCAACATGCAAGTAGAGTGTCGTGTGCCTAGAAAATTGAAATTTTTAGTAGCAGTTTGAGTTGGTAAAAAAATTTCCCCAATCAGTGCACAAAACACTAGAATTCAACTGGACACATAATTAGATCTTATTAACTGAGTGGGAGGTCTGTACGGGATAATCTTGACCGAGGTCTGTACCCGACCGAGGTCTGTACCCGACCGAGGTCAAGACTATCCCGTACAGACCGACCAAGCTCGGTTGATAAGAGTTTTATTATATGACCACTTTTCATTGAAAAGGACAAAATGTTTTCGCCGTAAGATTAATATGCGATCGGACCGGTTAATACCGGAGAATCTAGACCAGTCCGCGATGCGATCTATCCAATCAGATTGCTTGATTTGCTAGTGTCCAGGCTCTAAGGTTCATGGTCATATAATAAAAGGATTTATAAATTTATTTCATCTATTGATTAACATGCAATTATTGTGAAAATGCAGCTGGAACATCAGAAGACCATCAACATTAACATTTCAAAACAACTGCGAGAAGAAATCCAGTCACTTTGGACTAAACTTGAAATATCCGAGAATGAGTACAAGCCATTCTTGGCACACTGGCATGGATTCAAACGTTCTACTATTAATGCGGTATGTCTATAACAATATGATTATCCTCCCCATTGTATGATGACAAAAAATATTTGCTGTGCTACGCTAGGAGAAAATGTTTGTGATGCAAAAGTTTTTCCAAACCCCAACCTAATAGCATTGGTGTTTTTTTGGGTACCCCCCTTCAATTGTTTAAAAAATCCTCCCAATCCTCCTTTTGACCTTTCAAGGCCCCCCATGTACCACTAACAAAAATTCGAGGGTCCCCATTTTCCCCTCCACCTCCCCTGCAACTTAAATAATGACTAGTCCCTTAGGCCAGTAACAGAGGCAGGCAACACCCAAAAAAGTATAAATAACTCCTTGACTCCATAAGAATTAAGCCTGGCTGCTGAAATTGTAGCTTCATCGTATAGTAAGTATGTTTTTCATATTTTCAGATGGAAAGTGAAAAACAGAGATTACAAGCACTAAAACTAAAACACATGCAGAAATTCATTGAAGGCCTAAGGTAGCTTACTCCTTAATTAAGCTCATTAGATCATATATTTTAATTAATTTTTGCAATATATAAGTAATAAAATTATTATTATTATTATTATTATTATTATTATTCAGCTTCTCATTAATCCCATATAGGTAATTGTCCAATTATTTTCTTAATTGTACAGGTCTTGTTGATATGGGATTAATTAGGCAGCTATATAATTAATAGGTAATGGGATATCATGCTCCCCAATCAAAAAATAATTAGACTCAAAAAATTCCTCTGACTGCCAAATTGGACTCGGCCTACAGCCTCATGCAATTTTGTCAGTCCTCGGAATTTTCCTGGTCCAATTATTTCTTAATTGGACAGCATGGAGTCCTATTACATAACTATACTTATTATTAAAAATTATTAACTAGTAATTTTTAATGTCTTGATTTGTCAGTAAACATCAGATCATGCCCTAATGATGCTCTTTCATTTCTCTCTTTAGGAAAGAATTGACTAATTGGTGGGATAAGTGTTATTTTGCACCAGCACAAAGAGAAGCCTTCTCTCCAATTAATGACAGTAAGATAGATAACATGCTTCAAGATTTTTCTTGACTAGTTGTATCCACATCATATTTGATTTTAATATATGTAATTACCGTCTGTACTAAGACCATTTGTTGCGTAAATACGTCATATTAATGTGCATACCTATGAGAAAAGAAAACTAATAGGAGTGATGTGTGGTCAGTGGAATGGTAAAACATGCTATTCATCAAACTGTTTCTTAAATCTTTCCCATTCATTCATTCAAACACAACATGTTATTCAACCAAGCTGTTTCCCAACTCTTTCCCATTTCTTCACAACATGCCATTCAACAAAACTGTTTCCTAGCTCTTTCCCATTCATTCATTCATTCATTCATTCA